TTGTCCTGTACGACGATATCCCAGAGGGCCAAGAGCCGTCCTTTGGGACCGACAACTCAGATATGGCTCTCAGAGAGAGGGAATTGCAACTACGCCAACGGGAACTAGCGTTGAGAGAGCAGGAGATGCGGATGAGGCGCGGTCCTCCTCAGCCCTCTGCGCCTCCCTCTCGTCGAGGTCCACCACCTCCCAAGGGCGGATTTGACGAAGACGACGAAGACGACGACTATTTCGATCCATCCATGGCCAGCAACGTTCCTGTGATAGACCCCGACAATTTCGACATGATGAGCGTCACCTCCAAGAAGAACCGCAAGATGCCCGGGCCACCTCCATCCCAGATGCGGCGAAACCCCGAAGGAGACGGACCTCCATCCAAAAGCAGCCGGTTCCGACCCTTTGGTCGCCATCGACAATCGAGCCAAATGAGTCAGATAAACCAAATGCCCACGGTCACCGACAATATTTTGGACGATCCTCTGCTGAGCTTTACTTCGAACCGATACGGGGCCGTGGATCGTGGTGCCATGGGTGTTAGCTCTCGTGCCAACTCCTTGACTGCCTCTCGAATGGATGAGATGCAGTTCGGCGGCCCTGTGAACGGGCACACCATGACTATGACAGGTGGCTACCCTCGTCGGACTAGCCATTCACCCGGAAACCAATACAGCCCGTCGATGCGAGGTGGGAATGGCCGGCCTTCGCCGCCAAATGGGTTCGGTCCTGCAAATGGCCAAACATCACCACCTGGTGGCGCTCGACAGCCCGCTCCTCGGTTCCCCCCGGGTCCAGGCAATGGGATAGCACCCCAGCAAGTTGAACAGCAAATCGGGGTAAGCTCTTTGAATCACCCCAAATCTAGGAACGACCGCAGTCTGACTGGTAGTGCAAGCGCTAGCGCGAATAGCGGTGACTTCAGCTCAGAACAATCGACTTCCAGCGGCCAGGGGAGTCTTCAGCATTAACGATAACGGCGGCGACAGCAAGGACCTCGAATGGACTATGAGGCGGAAACAACGGACTGATACGACCATCGACTTATTGCCTCAGCCTTATGGAACGACCACATGAAATCCGTACACGGCACATAAACCTCTCCTGTTTCATTTGTTCCCACCCTCCTTATCTCTCACTTTCCTCTCTCTACGACTCTTCTCTATAGACCATTCTTCACACCACATCGATGAAGATGCGTTATTCTGCGTCTCTGTGAACGTCATCTGTTCCATTGTATGCGCTCATCAACCGATTTTACAATGTATAAAGAAGCAATAATCGACAGGTTGTTTGGCTTACAATTTTTCCAACTCGGAAAACCACCAACCCTCTCTATCTCATACAGCAACATATCGGCAGCGTAGCGCAGCTATCGCAAATTCGACTGTTTGGATCACTTTGGACTATTGGTCGATACTGGCGCTTTTTGAACTTGGGTGGGCTAAGCAAAATCCCGCATATGTACATGTGGAAACGAAACTGAAGACAGCCACTGACCATGCTGGGGATACATATGACATTAATAGTGTGCTCGCTGGACTGGCTCTTTACGTCGATATTAATTCATTACAAAAAAGACACACACGAACTGCCCCAGGGTGCGCACTTTGACGACCCTGGGATATATACCTTTTTTATTTTATCAATCTCAACCTGAGTTTTGGAAAAAGCCTCGCGGAAATGGAGGCTGAGCTACAACGGCAAACTTTTTTCCCTGGTGCGCATCACAGCATTTTAGATTCTTTGGGTGTTGATTTTCGTTTTCGTTTTTTCGTTCTTTTTTTTTTCTCCTTTTCTTTTCTTTGTTTTATTTTTACTCACCGCTCCGCCGCTTTTTCTTTATCCATGTTGAGGGATCAATCAATCATGGTCTGTTGAGAAAGTCTAAAACATCGCAAGACTGTGATGGGCCGTTTTTACCAGGAATGGCACGGTGTTGATCATGCCATATACTGCCAATCATCTGGCAGCCATGGGCTTGTTGGAACTCAAACTGAGGTGAACACGGCTATGCAGGCGGCGGCAGAATGCTTGAATAATTGATGGTTGAACACACAATAAAGATATAGACTGGCAGGGCAAATAGCGTTTAATGACGGGAAGATGGGAAAAGATATGGGCGGCATTGTTCTCAAGATAGTCCAATTATAATACGGCATGTTGATTCTGACAAACATCTTTTAAAGTAAATTTCCCTGTTGATTCTGAAGTGATGGTATGATTCTCTTAAAATAGGGTCAATTGGTAATGGGAGGTTGGTTGTAGGCAGAGTTCTATTTGAAACGCCCGGCTTACGGCTCTCCGTCTTGCAAGCTCGAGGTGCTTGCAGTTGGATATCTCTATTCGTCAACACATAAGTATGGATAAATAAAACTGATAATCTAAAGTAAAAAAAAAATTCTACTCTCTTTGTTTAATTCTTGCTGTATATATGCGAAGGGTATACAGATGGATGATTTGTTCCTGTAGGAGATATTGTCGAGCTCGAATCACGTGAGTTGGCGCGGCAGAGGACATCAAGATTCATCATCACCTTGTCTACACGAGCCTTTCCATCTACGCGTCAAGGACGGAACCTATTTGTGCCAACAGAGAGATGCAAAGCTGAAGAACAAAATCATTTCATCCTGAGCAAACGAATCTTGCATCTCCTCAAATTCTTGCTGAGAAAAAGGAGGGTAACAGAGGCAGATGGCATCTCGAAATGCGGGCGGTGGATCGCAGGGCCTGGGCAGGCAGAGCAGCGTTGCGACGACGAGTGGGAGTGTGATGAAGTCGAGACAACTGGTGAGTGTAATAATTGAAAGTTTTCTGCTATTAATTCTCCTTCGCTATTTTTTTTTTTTTCTCTCTCTTCCCTTTCGGGAGCCTCGAATTGTTGGTAATCAAACTGATCAATGTATACAGACACATTTACATTCTCAGTTGGCTCAGTTGTCAAAAAACCTATCAGATACCGAGAATTTATTAAGGATGACGAGTGTGCAAGCTGAAGCGATGAAGGGGTTGGGTAGCTGGCATGGCGGCCTGTGAGTTTTTCTTCTCGTGGCTGTATACGAAGAAATGACTTTGCTAACTCTCACGCATAGTTTTATGGCGGCAAGTAGAGTGCTTGGGGAAGAGAGCGTGAAGGAGGCTGGGAAGTAATGGTGGTTGTGTTATACGGGGGGAGAAGAGAGAGCGAGGATATATGACGGATTACTGAAGGATGTGGGCTACGTTGGGATGGGTTCCAGGTGTTAAACAGGTTACTGCTTCGTAAAGATTTCGGGTTCTGCTAGCATTTATTGAGCGACTATTGATATATACTTTATTTACAATGTGTCCATCTATGTGTCCATCTAGGCCTCCAACAGCATTGGAGATCCCAAGTCTAGCTTATAGAGAAGAGTGGTCGCTTCAGGTATGGAAAACTCTTCTCCCTCGTAAGGGACAGCAACGGCAGTCTCGTATTAGGGACTGGGCTCCTCTTTGCCCAATCTTCTACTGTCATAAACATGACAATGAGTCGTACAATAAAGCATCAAGTCCGCATTTGTTGAGCTTGAGAACAGGGAAGCAACATGGTCATTATTTTCATCGGCCTTTTTACCAACCCACACAATAATGTTCTCAGTTCCCTTTGAGGTATTTCATCCTGTCATGTATCAGGCAATATCCAAGCCCTGAATTCCAATGAGCATCTTGCTCTGGTTTCTGGTCTCAGCCCCTGTTTGAAGAGACACCATCTGCGTGCCCCTCGGCGATCATTTGAAGGCTGCCATAATCACTGCTATGATATTACACAAGCGTGTTCTAATCTCATCGCCGTCGTCTCTTCAAGTTGGCAGCTCAGGTCCAGATGCAGACACTGGCTCAGACACAGCGCCGCTCTCCTCTCTCTTTGGAGTCTTAGGGTCCCGGAGCGACTTCCTCTTCTGCTTAGGCGCGCTGATGGGATACCGCTTCACGTTTCCACATGTATCGCACCGAGTAATAAGAATATCCGCCCATGGCTTTCTGCCGCCTTTGCTGCGATTCTCCACGGTAGACTGGCACGTCTTGCCTTCAATCTGGACAGCATCGCAGTATCTGCAGATGGTCTGCTTAATGGTTGGGCTCTGCCGGATCTGAGCCTTCAGCGACACCGATCTCATGTCTGAGATGACTTGGTGAGACAAGTTGATGATTGCCTTGCGCTCCTGCTTGCTGTGTGTAAAGCCATCGCCATCTGCTGCGACAGGTTTCTCGTCTTTTCTTGTGCCGTCATAATTGTCTTCAGTCTTGGTTGCTTTCTTGGTTTGATAGGCGCAATTTGCTAGGTAGCTGGCCGCCTGGTAAAGATATGATGCCCTTGAGTAAATATGCCGGTTATGTATGCCAGCGTTGCCCTTTTGCTTGACCATCTTTTCCCCCAGGGTGGTTGAACGGATAACAGTGATCTCCTTTCTTTTTGACAAGTTATAACGAAATAAATATCTCATGCAATAGCAATGATTGCACGGCACAAAAGAAGATGTAAACAGGTACTCACGGAGCAGAAAAATCCAACCTTGTCAAGCTTCACTCCAAGACATACAGTGTATTCTCTACCGTGCTCGGTACAATTCACACTCATCTCAGCTTTCTGCTTTGCCTTTATTCAGATCACGTGCGTCTACTTGTTTTGCGTGCACGGACCACCGCTTACTCAGATCGCGCCTCACGCCTCGCTTTCTTCCCCTTCCGCCCTCTTTTTTGACAGCAGCCTCATCTTTCCCTCGTTCACATCCACCATCGGAACGAGTTTCTTCGGTACCTGTGGCATTGCAACCCCAATCTCCATTGTCTGTGTCTTTTCTTTCATCCCGGAATATCTCTTTGCCTGATACTCTGGGCTTTGTCTACCTGTCTGGTCTTTTCTTTACCTTCTTTTTTCTTCTTTCTTCGCCGCATCATCGCCTGCCTCTGACGCGCCCAACTCGTCAGTGCCTCTCGCAGGAAAAAACAGCTTCATCCTCTACACCACGACAATCAATTCCAACATGTCTCACGAGGAGGACCTCATTGACTACTCCGATGAGGAGATTGGCGCCGCCAACGAGACCGCCGCCGCTACCGCTTCCAACGGAAAGAAGGGAGAGGCAGCCGCCAGCGGCGCCGTCGACAAGAAGGGCAGCTACGTCGGCATTCACTCCACTGGATTCCGCGATTTCCTGTTGAAGCCCGAGCTTCTGCGTGCCATTGGAGATTGCGGTTTCGAACATCCTTCGGAGGGTCAGTCCTGAAATTCTAACACCGTCCTAAGCCAATCCACACACAATGATAAATGGTTCCCCTTTCCTTGAAAGCAAGCGTCCGTCCATCTCGCAAGCAAAGACAAACAAACTAGTTGAGAGAGGAGGAGGAAGAGAAGAGAGGAAAGCACAATCGAGCCAACGAAAGAATAGCTGGCCTTGCAGTCAGCTGAACTGGTCACTATCGTTGTATACGTGACGTCTGCAGTTGGCATGACAAAGACTCTCCAAAGACCGAAAAATCTGTGGCATTCACAAGCAAGAACCAAAAAAAGACGAATGCGGCAGCTCGTAGAGATTCCTCGAGTTTGCCGGTATGAACTGCATGGGCAGATATCACAAACTGTCCCTTGAATTCACTCGGGGAATGGGAGCTGCTAAATAGGCTTTGGAGAATAGTCAAGCCAAGCTGCGGAGAGAAGAAGAGCAATCAATTCAAGTCCATGTGTTCTTGTGACATGACGGACGATTGCCAGCTGGGATGACAATGGCTTCAAGAGCTCCTCTGCCTTTCATGGCTCGAGGAAAGGTTGGATCCCAGCTTGTGCTGCGAATTTATACATCTAGAAATCACGTTTATGCTGCGACGATGGACGGACCTTGACGCATATTACCCATCGTTCGTTGCTACACTTGGTTACGTTACACTAAAGTCTAACTTCCTCGCGATCGACAGTCCAACAAACATGTATCCCCCAAGCTCTCCTTGGTGGAGACATCATCTGCCAGGCCAAGTCTGGTCTGGGAAAGACTGCAGTCTTTGTCCTAGCCACGCTTCAGCAAGTCGAGCCCGTTAACGGCGAGGTCTCGGTGGTTGTCATGTGCCACACTCGTGAGCTGGCCTACCAGATCCGAGACGAATACAACCGATTCAGCAAGTACATGCCCGACATCAAGACCGGCGTCTTCTACGGTGGTACCCCCATCAAGAACGACGTCGAGACTCTCAAGGGCAAGGACACTTGCCCTCACATCATTGTCGGCACCCCCGGTCGTCTCAAGGCTCTTGTCCGCGACAAGGCTCTCCGTCTCGGAAGCGTTCGCATCTTTGTCCTTGATGAGTGTGACAAGATGCTCGACCAGCCCGGTAAGCGCAGCGCGCAACCCTCACTACCCACTGGGTGACAATCATGTTCTAACAAGACTCAGATATGCGTACCGACGTGCAGGATGTCTTCCGCGCTACCCCCCAGCAGAAGCAGGTTATGATGTTTTCCGCCACGCTTGCCGAAAACATCAAGCCCATCTGCCGCAAGTTCATGCAGAATCCTACTGAGCACTATGTCGACGAAGACACCAAGCTCACTCTCCACGGTCTCCAGCAGTACTACATCAAGCTGGAGGAGCGCGAGAAGAACAGGAAGCTGAATGAGCTTCTCGACGACCTTCAGTTCAACCAGGTCATCATCTTCGTCAAGAGCACTGTCCGCGCTACCGAGCTGGACAAGCTTCTCCGCGAGTGCAACTTCCCTTCCATCGCTGTCCACTCTGGAGTCAGCCAGGAGGAGCGGTAAGTTTTGAGAAACGTCTATGAAAAGGGACCTTGACATTCCAGTTGCTAACTATGTGGATAGTATCCGCCGCTACAAGGAGTTCAAGGAGTTTAAGAAGCGTATTTGCGTTGCCACCGACGTTTTTGGACGTGGTATCGACATTGAGCGAATCAACTTGGCCATCAACTACGACTTGCCCGGCGATGCCAGCTCCTACCTTCACCGTGTCGGACGTGCCGGTCGATTCGGTACCAAGGGTCTGGCCATTTCCTTTGTGAGCACCGAGGGTGATCAGGAGGTTCTTAAGGAGATCGAGAAGCGATTCGAAGTCGCTCTTCCGTAAGCATTCCTCTCTCGCTTCCATTACGCATTTTGTTAAAAAGGCATGGCAACTAACTTGACATGACTTTACAGCGAATTTCCCAAGGAGGGTGTCGATGCCAGCACCTACATGGCGTCTTAGACAACCAAAACAGCAGCTTCACGAATTCAGTCGGACGCTTCCTGTACTATTTTGTTTGTGCGCGTTTTTAAGGTCAAAGGTTGATACGAGCAAATGGCGGCGAGAGGGGCTTTTCTCAGCCTGTGCCACTGGAAGCAGAAAATTTGGGAGAAATCGAAACTCGTTTATTACTGTTACGTAGCTTATTTTATCAGGAGCCAAAGGAAATGGTAGGCTGAAACGCCGTGGTTTACTAGGTCAATTAAATGGATTTGCGCTTGAAAACAAAATGTGCTTGTGCTTATGCTTATGCGGCCTGTTCTGCCTATTACCTACTGCTTGCCCTGCCTGTTCCGTTTCTTCTAAGCGGAGTTGATAGAGCGAATGAATGGTACATGGTTTACGTGAGAATGAATCATCTCGTATGATTGGGCTTGCTATTTTAAGCCGGGTTAGTCTGTCCCTGGCATCTGGAATGCTAGAATCTTCTTTTCTCTCGTCGGAGGTTTCCTATCGCATCTAAGAGTCATCTCCTTTGTCTCGGTCAGCTCCTCACGATCCATGCTCGGCGGCGGCAGTGTCGAGCATTTCGGCTGTCATCCGGTCACATGGCGGCGATGGCTGCCTGCGGTAGCGGACGGAAGTGGGCAGCTAAAAACTGGAGCAAAGAAGATGGGAAAAGGTCGTTTCGCTTTCACGCGCCACAATGCTTCGCCACCTCTTTTTCTCGTTGGGCCCTCCGATCATCGCTCGCTGCAGAAATTCAGCCGTATGAGATGAGCCTGCGAAACTGGGTTATGATTTCACATGCGTATAATGTGGCATGGAATCCGACGAGTTGACAGATCTAATGAGTTTGTGGTCACCCGCAACAGGAAATCGGTAATAGCCTTTAGCAGCTTTTGACAGCCCCCTGTTCATAGCCTTTATTCCGCCTAGGCAGCCTCTCAGCTTACCCTAGACAGGGGCGCATAAAGACAGAAAATGAAGAAAATTGATCAAGACAAAGAGAAAGTAGCGTGAAATTTGGCACAGCGATATTTGTGCTTCCGTCACAGTGGCATCAGTGTGCAGTAAACTCAAGTGCCGTTGCATTCAGCGTGTCCTGCCGCAATAGAGCCTCTCTGCATTATCTGGTAGTGCGATCGAATCACCAGCCAGACAGCCAGAGTTTCGCCGGAAGTCAGCATCGCTGATCGCTTTGGGCACTCGGGATCGTCATTGATCAAGAGCCAATGGAAAAGCAAAAGGACAACCGGCAATCTTTTCCCCCAAAGTGGAGGGAGTAAACGCCAGCTTTACATGCTTCCACCCGGTGATAACAGCTCCTTTGGCTGCTAGTAGTAGGGCCAGCAAATGTCACCGACACGTCTTCGATGCCTTACAGCGAGTGGGATCCACCATTGAAGTAGACTTGAGTGAAGGCGTATTGCAGAGCTCTCTGCCTTCTGATATCATTACCGCTCTGCTGTCTGGACAAGAAGGCAATCATATCTCGAGTTTGGCAAGATGATACACATGGCAATAGACAGACAGACAGACTCACGAAGGAATCCGAATCGATGCCGAATTCGGGTAGTAGTGTGAGAAGCTGAGTATTTTCTGAACAAACACGGCGTGCTGAGTCATGCCTTATTGTCGCTTTAGCTTTAGGCTTTAGCCAAGGGTAGCCGGAGGTTACGAAATTGGGCTGCAACCGATTGTTAGGCAGATCCGCCCGCTTGGGAGAGCCCTGATACCTACCTATGTCCATCCTTATGCGCTCGCTATTCGGAAACGGGCGACTGCTGATATGGCAGACAATGCTATTCACCGCCGTGACAAAGCAGGATGGTAGGAGCAGGCCGTGTCTCTATAGTCCTGCTCCCATGATCGTATCCGTGTCTTGACCGCAGTGGACTCTCCGCCAGAGCTCCGCCAGAGGTAGACCAACATCAGGCACAACGTGTAGCATCGTAGCTACGGTGAATCAGGCAGAAAGGGCAGAAGTGGAAACTCCCAATGGCCAGGCTCTCGGATTCGCCTCAACACGCCCACGGACCCCCCCTTGATGTCAATGGGTATTTGCCGCTTGTTGTCCAGCATAAATCGGCCTTATGCGCCCATAACGTCGTTTGGGAGACAAATGCATATAGTGGAAATGCCAATAAGACACTCGGTATCAGTCACCTGCTGCGTATGAGATTTTCCTGCCACGTATAGTGTCAGAATGAGCAATGTTGCGGCGGATGTGTTTACCTGCTTGGCTGAATCACTATCCGCGAGCGAGCCGAATCCCTGCTCTAGGCTTCATGTCGTCTTTAACTGGCTAGCCTCATTCTCTGGCGCCATGGCTGGCTGAGTTTACTCATTGGCCGGAGCTGTCACTGGATGGCGATTAAAGTAAGAGAGAGACTTGACTCCATGCTAGCAGCGAGCTTGTCGCTAGTATGACCACGTCCAATCAACGAGCTATCGTGACCCAGGAAGGGCATCACCGCCAGTGTTCCGCGGTGAGCGGTAGAGGGCATGCGTGACCTGGCATTGGGGATACGTGTCTGAGGCTGATTGAAAGGGAGAAGGCGGTAATAGCTAGCCCTGTGGACTTGACTTGGGCGGACCATTTGCCGCTCGCTGCCTTTACAGAGCCATAGCATGGCCCGAGGCTCTCGTCTGACGTGTGAGAGATGCAGCGGCAAGGCGCTCTGCTACTGCACAGCATGAGCAGGCGAACAATGATAGCTGCAAGCTGATACAGCAGACGGAGCCTTCTCAACCTTTCTCCGCCTCTCGCCTTGCCTTCCCCTCACGCACATGCAGGCATATGCAGTCAAAACGAGCAGAGACACGCAGAGATTGTGGGGGAGACCCGCATGCCATGAGAAGGGGGGAGATTATGACGCTGGCGTATGTTTGCTGGATATGCAGCCATGCGAACCGCGTACCTTTTCCGTCACAACCGCCATTCATCTCTGGTGGACGGCTAGACGCATATGTGCCTGTAGGATTCTGAATTGTGACAGCTTTCACCCGAAGAGACCTGTGAGCGAAACCCCTCATCATGACGACTTGGCTGGCTACTCCAAACATCGACCTCGCTGATGGCCCTCTCTGGGCGTATTTGGTACAGGATTCACGAATAAGAGGGTCGAGTTGGATATGGTTTCAGTTCAAGACACCCTTTCCGGCTGATGTGTTGCGAATACTAGCAGCAGGCATATGTTTGGTGGCCTCGCATTTTAGCATAGCCTCGGCGAGTCCAAGATTAGCTTGACATATACTCCGTAGTAGATATAGCAGAGCGAGCGCCTACTTGTAAGACTTTTGCGGTCAGTTCATCTGATGGTACTGTAGTTTAAGCGCCTTTCCCATAACTCATCCCTTGATTTGGATCTCAAACTTCTATAAGCTTCTGGTAAACTGTACTGTACATTGGCGCGGAGGGGCAGTGACGCTACTAGCCGCTACAGGCGGCGATGCAGCGTGTTTCTATTTGCGGCCTGGCTAAGTACAATCCGGAGCCACCGCCGGAGGGGACAGGCGCTGATCTCTGGGGCGTATAGAGAGTCAAGTCCAGGCGATATCGCCTCGACGGGTGCGGATGAACGGCGGGGACCGAGATTCCCATCGACCTGCCACGCAATTTCGGGCGAAGTTGCTGCACCTTGATAGCGACATGTGGCTGGGAAAAAAAGGGTCGTGTTAGTGGTGCAGGTGGGAAATTTTGCAGACGCTGTACGTCCAGCGACACGGAACTCTCCCCTGAACTGTGCAGGAAGAAAAAGCAAAGGAGGGTCGCAGCGAGCTGAGTCTCCCTGGCTTGCTCGAGATGGCACTCATTTCCCATGTCTCTCTTTTCTTTTCTGTGTGGCCGCCGCCTCCATTTGGGGCCTGGAAGTACTGCAGCAGCTAAGGCGGCGCGGCGCCAGCTCGGAATGACCATTCCTCTCGCCTAGATGTGACAGTTGCTCCAAGCGGTTGTGGTGTCAGCGCGTCAAAAGGTCAGTCCCGTTGGCTGTTGTTCGTTTCTCTCTTGTGAGACATGCATGGCTGGGAACAGCGATAGCACATGCTTTTCTGATTCTATTACATTTGCTTTCACCTCATGGTGTGACCAAACGCGACTGATTTTGTCACATGCCGCTGCCGCCACAGGACTACACAGCGTCGGCCATCAAAAAGGAACTGCGTGCTGGATGGTACGTAAATAGAAAGCGTCCTGAGCAACCTGGCTTGTTTCAGGAGCTGGATGAAATCGCACAGAGGCGTCAAAAGTCAAAGGACTGCATTTGAAGGCACCACTGCATCTCCTGAGGCTATGATAAGAAAAGCCGCGTTGAGCTGCATCCGTAACTGATACTAGACTAGTAGTTCCTTTTCGCCTTCTGGGTCAACGTGGCGGATGAGGATCGTCCCTCCATAAAATAGAGCTGCACGACATTCTAGAGTACTTGTACCTATTGTGTACTAGAGCACGGACAAAATTGCTGTCTGCCGGAACGATGAGTAATGCCGTAGGACTCCTGCTCTATTTGCCTCCTTGTCAGCTTGTATCGATTTTACGAGCATGGACAGTAATAAGCATCGAAGAGCTGATGGCTTCATCCTGCAGTAAACCTCCCCCGCTAGTATTACCTGGTACTAGCATGCAGCCTATAGCGATGCAGCCTGGATTTGCAGCCCACTCCTTGGAAGAGCATTGCAAATTAGTCGAGAGTAACTGGTGGCGCCGCTCCTGGGTTCACCCAGCTCAGCGTCGTCATGTAGGTAGGTAGGCCGTCATACGCTGGCAAATGCCCTATTGCCCGGCGGCAGCTGGGTCTTTCTAGGAGATTAGTTGAGCGAACTCGTCCATGAACTTGAGACCTGTGTACTGCTGCGGTTGGTACGAGTGTGAAATCGCTGCTGCTTCCATGTTCATTCATACTTTGCATGCTTGTGACAGGCTGAGACCTCTCCCTGAGTCTGCTGGTGGTGTGACGGCACGGAAATCCTGGCAAGAAGCAAACGAGAAAGAGCCTTGCTCGCTCGACACACACTTTGGATGGCATGGTACGGCGCGGAAGCATTCCTAGATGCGCTGTATGTATCAGACCAGGGTTTGGAGGTGGCTAGTTGAGAACTGCCACTACCAGTAGCGCCTGATGCCTCTTGTTGAGGGCTCAAGTCCAGATTATCCCTGACAGCGGCCAGACCGCCTTTGCCCCAGCATCCCAGAGAGGCGTCGAGGGACAATCACGGCAAACCGGATATCCTTGTACGAGGACACATGCAGCACCAAGTACAGCACAGCACAGCTGGACAGCAGGCTACTCCGCGATGCAGCAGCTCCTCCCGGTTAGGCGAGACACGCAGGGCATTTTACAGCACAGCATAGCACAGCAAATGATGTGCAAATGCACTGTCTGGTTTCGGGCAAGAAGGCACTTGTAGCCAAGCTGCAAACGACGACAAAAAACTGGAGTGGGCTCGGAGAAGGCGGACTGGCGAAACATGGGCTGCACGAGGCCGAGATTGAGTGTGCCAGGCGAGAGCATCGAGAAGATGGAAATCGAAGCTTTGGTCCCGGGACATTACGGCTGGATCAGGCATCCGCCGAATACACGCGGTACCGGGTACACGACTGTAGTGACGTGCGCGTCACTTCGAACGCGTATCAGCAACTTCGTAGGCACGAATGAGTCGAGCTGGCACCACGGACACCTTTCAGCAGCGCTAGCAGCCCAGCGCTTGGCCCCGAACAGGCCGCGATGTTGGTTATTGAAGGCTTGATGAAATTCTGTGGCATTTGTCAGTTGCGCGGTTAAGCATAGGGTATCACAAAGTGTAAGAAGAAGAGGCGAGGCTTGTCACATCATTGGAATCTGAAAAAGAGAAGAGGAAGTTGTGTTTTCTCTTCGCTTCTCTTCTTTTGTGCAATTAGAAAGAGCGCAATAAGAGGCCTCTCTCTCAAGGCAAGTGCTACTGTCCGCACGGAGTATGCCGCACGCGGCAGTCACGCCAGATTCAGTGAGTGAGTGGCTCTCCGTGCTCGAAACATGTACCCAAAGTACCGTTTGGCTCGTACTGCATCACATTCTCACGTGTCATATGGCGTGCGTCGATATCGTATCGCATCTGCTCCGATCCTTCCAAGAACTGCCTGCCTGGGCAAATACGCAAATACGGTACTTTTACGGAGTATTAGCTTAGGTACTCTTCGTATTTTTGCCTTGTCTGTGGTAAGAGTTTCGTAATCATGTCGGCTTCCAAGTACCAGAAGGCAGCAGCAAACAGGAACAAGCAAACCTAGAGCTGGGCCGCTGATTCAAGCAACTCGCCTCCCCCGCCCGCCATCCGCCACCAACAGCGATTATGAATAGCCAGTAGCCGTGCTGTATTACATGTACAACAGCCACAGGTACCTACCGAAGCGAGTTAGTAGTGGGCAGATAGAGCAGCGGGAAAGGAGGCAGCTCAAGGGAAGGAATGAGGCACCGGGAGCCTCTTTTTCAGCTTGTTTCTCGCCTTTCATTGCCTCTTTCTCTCGAGACGGTCCTTTGTTGGCAAGTGCTTCTTGCCCGGCTTGCCATCGTAAAGGCAAAAGTCGCTGCCTGGCTGCTTTGCTCTTCCCTTGCCATTGTTGAATCCATTACCTCATTGCCTCAGTGCCTCACCACCTTTCTGCTCCTGATGTGATTTTGGAGGGGGCCCGTGCACCGCCCTGACAGCGACTTGTGAGCAGCTATCAGCGCATTTGATAGCAAAGAGTACGAACATGCTGCAATCTCTAACCAAAAGCCACAGCGCGCTGCACTGCACTACACCACAGCAGCCTGGGCACGAAAACAAAAAAGTAACGCTGCTGCTGCGGCTGCGGCCAGGGATAAGCCGCCGCCAGAGGTCAGACACGCTAAGGCGCGCATGGCGATGAGGCCACCAAAAGGAAAAAAAAACCAAGCCACCTACAAGAAATGGCCTTTTTAGCGCAAGCATTCTTGTGGCAGTACAAAAAGCAAACACTGCAGCACGGCAGGGCATGGCATGGCATGGGATAAAGGCAAATAAAAATATCTCGCATCTAGTCAGCAACCAGGTCAAGCCAAAGCAAACAAATCAAAGCTTGTAGTCTATCAGCCAGAGTCAGCATCTTCAGTCTGTATAGAGGCATAACCTACATCGTACATCATTAGCAACGGCTGCTTCTACTACTGTACTTGCATGTCCCAGCGAGCGTGTGGAGATTTGGGGGCCCCCTCCCCAAGCAGAAACGAATCTGGCGCTGGATTGAACTTTGGAGCGTCCCGGCCTGCCGCTGATTCGTCGACGCGAGAGGGGAATGTGCGGGGCTGATGGGCCCCCTTTTGGGCCAATGGCAGCGCGCCCAAAATGCGCAGCGCTGTCGAGGTACCTCGAAACTGGGCTAGGCCCAAATGCGCGCTCCCTGCTGCTCCATAGTACCTTTGCCCCCTGTACTCCCGCCGTGAGTGTCTCGTTGGAGACTCCCGCCCGCCCCGACGCCCATTCTGCGGTCCTGCGTGCTGCGAAATCCATTCAAAACTATGCCACGACCCCCATGACGGCGCTCGATTCTTCTCTTCCCAACGAACCGTCACCATGAAGTTCGGTACCGCCCTGTAAGCTCGCCAGCGACTCTCGAAGTCTGCTCTGGTGCCTCTCTACTCTCCGGCGCATTCCGTTTTTTTGTCATTAATACAGGGAAAACAACATCTCTACTCACTCTGCATCTTTTTCTTTTTATATTTCTCTTTCGCATCTCATTTATTTGCACTGCTTGCGGCGGCATTGTGCCTGTCCACTGAGAAGAACAACGCATCAGAACCGGGCTCCATCGCATCTCAGGCCAACTCATCAGTCACCTGGACGCAGAAACAAGGGGAAAAAATCGAAAAGTCTCACAAACAAAGAATTCGATCACACAGCAACTGCACTGCTGCCTGTGTTTTTGCTCATTTAACCCCAACACGCTTTCTCTCTCTCTCTCTCTCAGCCCGTTTTCTTGTGTCATCACGGTCCCTTTGTTTTTTTTTTCTTGTCTAGTGGGCAAATCGACTCACTCACCAGGCCTTGCTCGCCACCCGCATCTTGTGCTGCTCAGTTGACAACCAGCGCTGTGGCCCCGGCCCCTCCAGGCGGTCTCGTCGCTGTTACTGCCTAGCCTTGGCTGCTCGGGCGCTGCGCTCCGAAATCGCCAGCGTGCACCACCTGCCCTGTCACTCGCCACCTCAGCGCGAAAGAGTCACACAACCGAGAGCCTGTACCCACTCGCTACCTGAAGCTCAGCGATTACGCCACGCTTCCAGGCTGTCACCTCGCCGTCGCCCCTAAGGCCACGCTGCGAAGAGTCACCGTCGTCGCGATAAATACGCTGCCGCCGCCCTGACAGCCTCGCCTCGTGTCTCTACCCGTACCTGCATTGCATCGATCGATGATCCCTGGACCTTCGACATCCTTGCACTTGTAGGCGCGTCGACCGAGCACCAACAGCCTCTCTTCTCCTTCACACAGCCACACAGTCACGACAATTTGTCACCACAGCCGCATCGTCGTCATCGCATTCGACTCAACTCCATATCCCCGTCTTTATACCGACCTCGCAAACCGATGATAGACTTGCTCTAGAAGTCTCATCACCCCCAACCAACCCAACCCGCCAGAGCATTGGAATCGCGATGCCTCTTGCAAGCTACAAATCTATCTCTCCAGTCGCCGTCTCCGTTTCGTCCTCCGGTCTGCTTGTTTGTGAAAAGCCGGCTCACGTTCTTATCTAAGAATCAACGCCATCTTTAACACTCGAACACGGTTCTATCTGCAGCGCATACTGCATGTTGTTGCTGTAGAACCAGCAAGCTTGACTCGGTAAACCCTCGAAACTGCAATAGCATTCCGGTTGACATAGCCTGACGGCGACTGGAACCCTCGCGCCAGCTTGAAGCATCAAGCTGACATTCTTATATACACATCTACCACACCACATCGCTTTCACATATCATACCTCGATCCTCTTTTCACTATAGCTTAATCCGCCCCCTCTTCTTCTACTTTTATTTCCTTATATAGCACCTCCAAGATGCCGTGCGATACCACCATCTCACCCGCCTATGACCCTTTGAGTCAATACTCCTACAGCTCCTCCGCTTCGTCATCCTTGGCTTCAGCCTCAGTGTGGTCAGGCTCCGACACCGCATCGCAGACCTCAGACGACACCTCTACTTCCACCACTTCGTCCGACAGCGACCCCTGGCAATCCGTCTTCCTCCAGGCGATTCGCCGTCGCCCTGAGGCGCCTAGCCAGCAGCAACAGACTGCGCCTATCCCCATTCCTGCTGTCCCCGCAGAACTGCGTCAAAACCCTAGACGGACCGCGAGTTCCAGCAGCAGCTCGGGATGTCACCCTCCCTCGCTAATCCGGCAGTCGGATCGCAAAGTCAACTTTGTCGACAGCCTCGTTGGTATGTTTTTCTCGCTAATGACCATGATCCTCTCAGAACCATCGTACTTAGCCTTTACCGCGACAGATTCCTCGACTCAGATTGTCGAAGCCATCTGGCCTCTTTCTTCTGCTCCATGCCGCCCGGAACCTGGCAATAGAACCGTGCTCCCGCTGCGGACCTTTATCCAGGAGACTCTTCGGCGCTCACGTACGAGTTACTCGACGCTGCAAGTCGCCCTGTACTATCTGGTCCTCATCAAGCCTCACGTTCCCAAGCGTGGCTTTACCACCGAGCAATACGAGGACCGCTACTCTGACCGCGCTCTTCAGTGTGGTCGGCGCATGTTCCTCGCGGCCTTGATCCTCGCTTCCAAGTACCTTCAGGACCGCAACTACTCGGCACGTGCCTGGAGCAAGATCTCCGGCCTCGGCGTCCAGGAGATCAACCAAAACGAGGTGGCTTTCCTCCTCGCTGTCAACTGGAAGTTGCACATTACAGACGAAGTCTTCCAGAGATGGACTGAGATTGTTCTGAAGCATACACCACCTCCTCCGCCGCCATCGCCGGACGCCTTCTCTCAGCCTCTAGCTCAGCAGACCATGAGATGGAAACATGCCATTCTCAGGCTGAAGCCTGATTTGACCAACGTCGAGGTGCTCATGCCTACTGCTACTGCTACTGCTCAGCTGTCAGCTGCCAGATCCAGTGATCTTTGCGCACTCTCGCCTCGTAGCATCCTCAATCTTCCTGCAGAACAGCAGCAGCGACGAACTCCTTCGGTCCTGGCTGAGGAAGCAACTTGCGATCCCAAGTTGACCACAAAGTACTTGCCTCCTATGGAGCCGACTCCCATGATGGCCGGAACCTACTCGGCCACTCCCGGCAGAATGGCCCCGACTCTGGGTCTTCTCCCGACTCCCCGTCTCACGCCGCAATCAAGTGGTATGTGCACTCCTGCAGCGAGTGCTGCATCCCAAGTCCTCGGAAGAAGCAGCGCAATGGGTTTGGCCATGGCTCAGGCTGGTGTCACCAGCGCCGCCGCCCAGCATCTGGAACGCTTCCCCGCGACAACTCTGTCTACTTCTCCCCAGAACTTCTGCCCCGCTCGTCGATCTTCGCTTGCCAACTCCATCTCGACCATGTCCTCTCCCGAATCGATGGTCTCGGATTTGTCTCACACTTCTCGCTCGTCCTCTGTTTCGTCTGCCTCGTCTCTGGCTAGCGCGACCCTCAACAATCCGTTGATGGCTCAGTCGCGATTCCGATTGATGAAGGCGATGAATGAGAGATCAAGCCTGAAGACGACTATCCACACCGTCTCGGAGAGCAGTGAAGAGTATGGTTTCTCGTCCTCCCCCGAATCGTATACCGGCCCGGTTGCGAAGATTGGAGGCCTTCGGACGGAAACCTCCTTGTCAGCAAGATACGAGCGCGAGCTGGAGCGCCAGTCGCGAGAAGCCGATTCAGATGCCGCGCGCACTCTGCAAGATCTGCATAACCAGAGCATCCGTAGCGCTTACTACGCTCCCGAGGTACCCAAGACTGGAACCAAGCGTAGCAGAACCGCATCGCTGGACCAGCCTCTCCAGGACCACGTCCGCGAGATTCTGGGCGCACCTTATGGAAGCACTACTCGCTTCCAGCAGCCTGTCCTATCCAGCGCGGCAGACACGAGAAAGAGACTCTGCTGCTCCACCGAGGCAGCAACCGGCTACCAAGTAGCAACTGGCAACCATAACTATGGCCTCCGAGAGCCAAGCTTTTGGGAGATCCTCAACTGAAATTTACATCTGGGGCGTTTGTTTGTTTATGACCTGTCAAGCTTTACGCGAACTTAATTTTTCCGCCAACAATCTAATGCTGTTAACTTACCACGGATCGGTTTGGCTGTAACTATTGGCCCTCAATTCTCTCGCTTTTTTATTCTCATTTTCTTTTATTCTTCCCTTTGTTAGAAGACTTGCGATTTGACTATTGATTTCCACGGAATGGCGCTCGAAGGAGAAAGAGAGACTAAAGGACGTCTCGTTGACAACAGAGCTTTTGATATCGCACAGCCTGGGGGCAAAGGGACACTATTTTTTCTGCAAAACGATCATAAACCACCGGAAAGATGATATCCAAGGCATTGGGATGCCTTTTGGAAAAAAGTGCGTTTTAATCTTTTTTTTTTAACTGTTTCCTCGTCCAGGAACAAAGGGAAATTTACACATGGATGGTTATACAACGAATGGTGATGAAAGATATCCTGTATAGTGTGGAAGAGAGAGCAATTTCAGGGGATGAAGGTTGATGATTTAGGGGGTGGCTTTGGAGAGGAGAGAAGATGTTACATGTACGACTAGTAGATGGAGAAGATGAGAGAGAGGCAGTTGATGCTGTTTTGATCTTTTTTTTTATTTTTTTAAACTTTCCAACCTTTTTTTTTTATTTTCTTTTCTTGCTCTAGGCTTTTAGAAGCTGAAGCCTTGTTCGCTTTGGATCCAGTCCTGTATCGAAAGAAGACTGGGGATGAAGCGAATGAGGAGAATTGAAACATGTTGAGCAGGAAGGCTATTGACTGTCCCTTGTTTCTCCATCAGTGACACGCATGATTCAGAACCTACAAAGCAAGCCAGAAAGTGACTTGACTACAAAATATATCAATAAACCACTACCGGATGGACTAAAATTGACTATTTACTTGGATATGGTGCTAAACCACTACAATTCCCATTTATAGCTTTGAAGCCTCTCTTTAGTCTGCCCGTGCGAGTAAGTATTTCTTGATTGGTATTCACGACTCTGTATCAGCCACACCTGACGAGTAATGCTCAAACAGATAATGTGGTGTAATAAGGTATGTATTCAATGTACACAGGTAAGTTTCAGGGCTAAAGCCAATATCCCCATTTGTTCTTTTGTTTTTTCGTGCGCGAAATTAATTAACAGCCCAAACTTTCGGTTCCTTCTGGCGTGACGCTGCTGCAAGTTGCGTGAAAAAAGGGTACGCAAAGCGGCTGCCCACCGAGTGACTCATTGGAAAAGAACCCCCGGCAGAAAAATCCCATTATGGGGAGGGAGGGAGGGATGGTGGGAAATTTCGCTTCCCCTACTTCTCACACAAGTTGAGGCCGGGAGCATGCCTGATTGGGTAAGCGGTGGCGAATAAAGGGAGAGGGGGTTTGAACGATTTTGCTCCGGTTTGCTTCTGGTTTGGATTGCGTGTGGCTCTATGACTAAACTGTCGATACATATGCCTCAATATAGTTTCTTCTGAGGGTTTATCCATTTCTTGCCTTGGCGTAAAACCAGCAAACTGTAAACCGCATGTCGCAAAAGCCAAAGGTGGCAGCCTATATATTAAGAATCCCGATCTATGACTCTCGGTTATTGCTTCTAAAAGCAATATTAGGGCTTCTTTTATTGAGAAGCAACAACCGGGGGTCATAGATCGGATGTTCTTGGTAGATGGGCGGTCGCCTTTCGGGGTTGCAACATGTGTGGTAGTCTTTGTTGGTTAGAAGCCTGGCTATTGGGTATCATGTTTAGCAGCGCAGACTCATGAGTTACCCAATCCATCTCGCCGAAAGGCCCCTTCCTATTCACGGTGGAGTCAGTCATTTCTTGAATGTGGCTGGCTGGCGTAATCCTGCGCGAAAATGAGTGCCTGAGAGTGGGTAAGATATCGCGGGCCTCGTTTACATTCACGGCGAGAAGGCATGTAGTAGGGGCTGGGCCGGCAAAGTGACGCCAAGGGCGTGAATATGACTATGGACGAGGGGGTATGTCGCGTATCAAGAGCTGATGCCGCGCGACTCGTGCGTGGGCGGATGTTGGCGGTATCCTGTCGCGTCTGAGTGGTTCCTTTGGCTCGGCCCAGCCTGAGGAAAGGTAGAATGTGATAGCATAATCTGCACTTGATAGATCCTGGTTAATATCATATTATGAACGCTGCTTATTATACAAAAAGAAAGCCGTACACATGGACGTGAGTAGGAAATCATTTGATCCCTTCATATGCTCACTATTACTGAGCTGCCCAGCCTGGGATGCTTGATAGCAACTCCATGACTCTAGCAAGACCGAAATGAGAATTCCTCCATTCCTTTCCTTCAATCTAATTCCTTTGGTGGCACTCATTTTTCTCTTTTATTCTTTTTTCCCATTTTTTTTTCTCATGTAGCTGAAGTAGTACTGCAGATGTGGGCTGTTGCTTAGGTCCCTCTCCGGAAATGACTGACGTGGACCAACCAAAGCTGATCAAAGCTGTAGCTTTTCATATAGCTAGCTGATTCGTCTGCATGATTCTGGTTCATCTGGAGGATCGAGGCACACGCTGCGTCGAGCCGAATTAGACAGCGGGCGTCAAAACAATGTTTCGCAGGACAATGAAGCGAAGCATTTTGGGAGGGATTGATGATGATAGAGAGGATCGTTAGAAGTCCAGTTGAGAGACGTGGCAGTGACGTTGCCGGCGGTTGTTCGATAAGGTACGTAGTGCAGCGAGGGTAATTCAGTTTCATGCCCCGTAAGGCTTTGGCTAGACAAGATCATACGACTTTAGTCGAGGCATTGGGAGAGCAATACTGCAAACTCGGTAGACCAACAGTCGGAGAGAGAAATGGTAAGATGACAGCGAAAGAGCTCGATCCCAACGTGGGTGTGCCTGGATGCGTGATTGACGGGAATGCGTCTGGACCTGGGCCGAGAGGTCGTTGTGTTCCCGGCACGCTTGCTCGCACTCTGCAGAAGTGAATTGCGTTGGAGGTTGCTTTTTCCGTCTTTGATCTGATTTGGAGAGATGTTGTGTAACCACATCTTCGGTTCACCTGACCATAGCTTTGATTTGCGGACCCCAAATATGCAGCACCGGCTAATGTGACAGCTACCATTTCTCCAGTATCATGCACGTTTTCCACTTGGCAGAGATACAACAGTCGCCTCGCCCTTCTAACCTAGGCTGTATGCATGAAGGAGAGGTGCTGATTAGCCATGAGAGGTGAGTGGTGGGCAGAATGTTGGTATGCCCACTCTTTGGGATGTTGTCATACGTGTACAGCTCGCAGTGGTTCCCTGACTGCGCGTGATTTGACAAAGGTTGGACTCCGTGACAGCCATGGCACTCAAACATGAAAGAGGGCGAAGGGTTAGGGTGAAGAGAGGGGATCAAGGGTACAGGATGAAGGGATTGAAGGAGACGAAAGGGGATACAAGGAAAAGACAGCTAGATGTCGGACCGCCTGACTATAGAGTCTGACCTAGAATCTGGGACGTGCAATGAGAGGAAAAAGGCGCTTCGGATACGCCGCAGTAACTCTCGGGTTTCGAGCGGGTCGCCTCCCCATAGAATTCGACGTTCGAGTTTAATGATTTCTTCCCTTATTACCTCGGTAGGTAGGCCATCAAAGACCCAAGTGCGATAAAGGCAGTTGATGGCTAACATGTTGGGCACTTCAGCATTAAGAATGGAATTGCGAATCAGATCAATCTTGACCTCCCAGGGAGGTTCGACAAGGAGCTTGCCACAGGTCATGTAGCCTCCACGGCAAAGCCAAAACAGCTGGCGCTGCATCTCGTCGTCCCACGGACCGGCAATGAGTCTAGAAGGGATACGTGTCAAGGGATGAATATCTTGCGAGAACCAGTGGACGCCTCGGGCTGCAAATGCGGGCCATTTCAGAGCCTGTTGGTAGTCGGCCTCGAAGCACTCGCGTGCATTAAAGTGAGAGAAGCCCCCGTCATAATCGTGGCCGACTTGTTCAGAATCATCAATCCAAAAGGTACCATGTTGGTAATGACATCCCCGTCCGTGGTTGTCAGCCCACGTCTGCTGGGCTTGCAAGATTAGATCAATGCTGATCCAAGGCTGATCAAGCATTTGAGTCTAAATATATATATATATATGCCTAGATTAGCACTGGCGCGTTCTGGGACCGAGCCATCTCGAAGTACACATGCTAGAACTGCGTCTGCTACTTCAATCTCGGAGGGAAAGGATGAGACCAACCTGGAATTTAGGGTCTCCGTGACAAGGGACATGCTGGGCATTCTCCAACCAAGGCCCGTGAACAATTGCAGGGTTTGTGGGAATGCCGAACCACTGCTCCCAGGTGTCGTGAAAGGCTAGGATGAAGAGACGCAGCAGAGTAGCCCGTCCGGATAGCTTCGCGCCAATGAAGTTGCTGACACGGGGCAGAGCGAGATTGGCGCTATACAGGAGGATGTTTTCGAGAATCTCGGCCGGGAGAGAGTCGAGGGTATTCCGATGGCGTGTCTTTCGAGTAGCCATGACGGAGAACAATGACTTCCTAGTCCTTGGGGCCTTGAACGGCGGCTGCTGTTCGCATAGCGCCTGGGGGCGACTCGTGGCAGGCGTCTTGCGTTTGCCCTTGACGTGAATTTTGGTAAGTTCCATCAAGCGTCCAAGAAGAAAGAAAAGAGAAGCGAGATGACGGCTGCTGCACAATCGTATATGGGTACTTGTAAGAGTGAGCCGTCTGATATGAAATTCCAGCAACGGATGGGACCGCTGGAAGGACGGTCTGGGGATCCTCTTTTGGGGGGCGGGCGGCAGGCAATTTATGGTGGAGACAGCCTGCCTTCGCGGCTCGACTACCGACAGCTTCTTGTCTTGTTGCGGTAAAGTCGAGGCCAAGGCGGCGGTGAATAGACTTCAGCCGAAGGATGGTGGTTGCTAGGCCAGGAATTGAATTGTGCAGAATTGCTGGGGGACGCTGCACGAGGAAGAACTGGGCGGCGGCCACAGCAAATGCTTGGGGCGAGTCGACGCTTTGCGAGC